GATTCTAGGCATAAGTAAAGTATAGTGAGTGGAACGCTTCATAGATTCTAGGCGTAAATAAAGTATAGTGAGTGGAACGCTTCATAGATTCTAGGCATAAGTAAAGTATAGTGAGTGAAACACTAAGAAGATTCTAGGCATAAGTAAAGTAGTATAGTGAGTGAAACGCTTTATAGATTCCAGGCATAAGTAAAGTATAGTGAGTGGAACACTGCAAAGATTCTAGGCATAAGGAGTGTATAGTAAGTGAAACGCTTCATAGATTCTAGAGTCAATTATTACTCTCTGGTCAGAAAAAATATCCCAGAATTCATCTCTAGTGACTCAACATAGAATTGTACTCTGATAATTTTTATATAGTAATGCTTTGTAATGTAAACAAGAAAATTTTCACCAATCTTTAAATCAGTCCTGATTTTAATGGTAGAGTAGTATTTAGAATTAATTTGCATAATCATGCATTGAATAATGAACTGATAAAACCAAACCACACATCTAATTTAACCAATCATTTATATCTACGTAAATGTATCGTGAGTTTTATCTTTTTATTATCATTTACCCTAATATGTGTAATTTGATAAATCATAATTGGTCAGCCTTAAGTTTAATAGCTTTAACAAATTGATTAGTTAATTAATTAATTAGCATATTGAAGTACTACAATCGTCATCAAACTGCATAAATAGTGTATTTTACCTGTGCTGTATTGCTGTATAGGTTGCAAGGGACCCATACCGAACACAACACTAAGGAAAATTTACATATCACGAAATGACTTTTAATATACCTGTATTATCAATGCAGTTGACCAGTAAACACACACACATTACAATTGCAGTACAAGTGATATAAATTATGACTTCCAAGGACATTGAGAGTACACACAATATTATAAATAAAGTATTTAAAGCTTATGAAGAATAAATATTATGTACATATTTCTTGGAAACAGAAATTAAAGCCAATTTAGGATGAGGATACAAAAGACCAATCAACAAAAACGATTGTTTTATGAAAAAAATTAGCCAAATAATTCATGTCACCGTTTTTGGCAAGAGTAAATCTGAGCAGTAAGGATGGAAATAATATTTGTTTTAAAAAGCTTTAAAATAAATTTCTTTTAAAACTTGAACAATATCTTATTTAATATTTCAAAGCTTCTGTCTTTATGAGTGGTGATATTAAAATGTCTCTAGTGATTGGTTAACTGGTATCATGTGACCTGTGATAACCAATCATATTATTTCTGATCATGTACACAAATACACAAACAAGTGATAGGGTGTTTGGCATTTCCATTTTTGTTTACAATTTATAAGCTGTACAAGTGTTACCCTGTTTGAATAATATTTTATGAATATTAAAAATTAAAAGCCTGAAACTTTCTCATTGGAAAGTTAATTTAATAATTTTTTTTTTTAATCTGTGTTGTCCCCGATTGATGGCAGCCTTGTTGACGATTGTGCCCTTCGGTCCAACAATCGCCTCATTGGTGATTTGCATTTCATTGGCGATGTTGAGCTAGTGGTGGCTTTGAAGGTGGTGATGGGACCAGGAGAGGTGACTCAGTTGGTGATTTTGATAATGCTGGACTGGCCGTTTCTAAACTTGCCACGCTAGTTCGATGCGTGGATGTAGAGGTGGAACGTGATTGAGATGATACTGTCCTTCGACTACGAGTAGATTTAATTTTCGCTGAGCCAATCCCAACCGTGTCAGAAAGTAAACCATTTATCCGAGCCATGTACTTGAGTCGTTTTTTGTACTGCTCTATGTCTTGCATGAAATGCGGAAGTCGTAGCGATCTAGTTCTGGCGACTCGTCTCACTCGGTTCACCTCATCAAGGCAAATCTTACCCGAATACAACAAATTGAAGTCGATATTGTCAATATTTCGAAGTATTTCAACAGTACCTACAGTAAAAATAAAATGTATAAAAAATATATAAAAAATAAAAAAAGAAGTTAGATTTTTCAATTTAAGTTTCCAAATAGGCCAGAGAGAATGTTTAGAGATGTAATAAATCAGAAACTGAATCAGACATCTGTTTTGTCCAATTTAAATTTGTCTCCAATGTATGTTGAAAACATGGCTGCAGGTGTTTTATATGGAACATAATTTACATTTTAATTAACTGCAGACAGGATAATTTCCACTGCACAGGAACAATATTGTCAGTAACGAGTGTACATGTAACATAATTGTTTATATGAAGTATTATTATTATATCATGTTGGAGTGAAACTATTCAACAATAATCAAAATTTCCTATAGAAATTATGGCTATAGCAAATTGTCTAGATTTAAAATCAAGATGCACATAGGGTCTGACCTATCAGAAATTGGAGGGGGGTCTGAGTGAAGAAAATAAAACCCTTCGGGGAATTTTACAGAAATCGAATATTTATAAATAAAAAAAAATATGGCATAATATTGTTTACAGCAAAATCATCCTAAAAAACAATTCTGTTCAATTATAAGCAAGAAGAAAATAATTTAAGCAGTTTTTGTACAATCTCCCCTCCCAGAGTTTGTAATGGTCTATCTGTAGTACCTGTAGTGCCTTTTTGGTAGCATAGCCTTTACAAACTATTTTGCCGTAGAAATCATACGCAATAATTGGGACGACTCGACCTAGCTATTTATGACCATCTTTCTATGATAACAGAATTTAAGGAAGTCAATGTGATGTATAAGCGTCAACTGGAACTACGGTCTAATGCAACAACCAGCAGGTCTTCCGGTTATGCAAGGTGAATTTCACAACAGCTAATGAGATGGTATATATGTATATGAAAAAAAAATGTGTCAGTAACAATCTGCATATGTTACTAATATGCATACAAAAAAAACTGTGGCAATTACAAAAAATACGTAGAGACAAAAAACAAACAGAGGAGTTACAGAAATGAACACACGGCCAGAAAAACAGTTCAAATGGCCAAAAGTGGTATAATCCCTGCATAATCAAATCTACTAAAATTAAATCCAATGATTATGTATTTCTGCTTTTATAGTACATGTACATGAATTAAAATCAAATTCCAGGCAAACAACATAATGATTGTAGAAGAAAGAGCTGCACAAATGTAAGAAAATGCGATTTAAATTTTTTTTATATAACTTTTCATCAGTATCTTGATTCTCCAGTAAGGGATTATGGGTAAAGTATGACAACATAACCACTTGTGAAAGATTTGGG